TGGAACAGCTGTGCGAGCGGTCGAACCGAACTTGACTAGCGAATGGATGTCTGCAGCAGCGGACGGCGAACTCAACAGTGCGCTGGAAGCAAGCATCGTGGTCAGCGACGCGAAGAATGTGGGCTGTGCGGATGTAGGCAGCAGCAGGCGGCGAACTCATCGGTACGCTGGAAGAAGGCACCGTGGTCAACGACGCAGGGAAGGTGATTTGCGCCATATCAGCCGCGCTCATCCTCAAAGGATTGGAGACTACCGTAGATGTGGTGACAGTCGACCCCGAGGCGGCAGCGGCTGTACTAGGGGTCATGGGAACCGGAAAAAAAGAGAAAAAAGAAATTGTGTATCTACAAACTTAGAGCTCTTGATACCATGTCAAATAATGGGAAATGGTACTCCAATAAGAATCCTGACGGATATATTTATAATAGAAGAGTTGCCAAAATACAAAGTATTTTCTAAATATATATTAGGTAGTTTCCTAAATATATATTAGACAGATTCCTAAATATATTAGGCTATTACACCCCTCAAACTGTGCGGGAGATACAACGCGCAAGTTCTATTTTAATTTAAAAATTAAATTGCAAACTAACAAAAAAAACTCTTAGTAATTATATCCGCCAGCGGAAGGTTAGGAGGCACATATTTGACAATAAGATCTCCATGAGCAAGTAGGTTGTTTCTAGGACTTCCAAGAAACCAAATTAGGACCAAGAAAGACAATAAATAATGTCCACAATTTGGACACCCTTGAAGATACCTTGAGCAAGAGCAGCGAATGAAGTGGGCAGCGGAGAGGATCTCGGCCAACGAACAGCTGACTCGACAGAAGACGACGGGATCATGCCAGGGTCGCTAGAGAGAGTGGAACAGGCGTAGTGCTCTGGAACAGTCGTGCGAGCGGTCGAACCGGACTTGACTAGCGAATGGATGTCTGCAGCAGCGGGCGGCGAACTCAATAGTGCGCTAGAGCAAGCATCGTGGTCAGCGACGCGAAGAACGTGAGCTGCGCGGACGTAGGCAGCAGCAGGCGGCGAACTCATCGATACGCTGGAAGAAGGCACCGTGGTCAGCGACATGGGGAAGGTGATTTGCGCCATATCGACCGCGCTCATCCTCAAAGGATTAGAGACTACCGTAGATGTGGTGACAGTCGACCCCGAGGCGGGAGCGGCTGTACTAGGGTTCATGGGAACCGGAAAAAAAAGAGAGAAAAGAAATTGTGTATCTACAAACTTAGAGCTCTTGATACCATGTCAAATAATAAGAAATGATACTTCGATAGGAATCCTGACGGATATATTTATAATAGAAGAGTTGCCAAAATACAAAGTATTTCTAAATATATATTAGGTAGTTTCCTAAATATATATTAGGCAGATTCCTAAATATATTAAGCTACTGGAAATTTGATAAGAGAAAGACAATTCTAATCTTCTAGAGCAGACAATGAAGCGTCTACCTGGATTGTCACATGTCGAGGACGTCAGCAGCTTCACAGGAACTCCACATCCACACTTTCAATAAACCATGTCTCTTGCATCCAAAATATATTTCCAATTAGCTTAAATAAAAAAACCACAAGATCAAGTATTGCCTCTACACCAGAGGATAATCCATCGGCACAACTATTGCTATATAATGTATATATATCTCCTCCAGTAATTCCACGCCAAAATGGAATCAAAACAAATAAACAAGGGTTAATTATTAAAATAGGACTAAAAGTCAGTCACTTTGCACAAATAGGACCAAAAAATAAACTATGTTTTCATAGAACTAATTATGTATGTATTGGACAAATATACCCTTATAGCTATTGAAATGTTTTAATTCATAATAAAATAATAAAAAATAAATAAAAATTCGTAAAAAAACGAAAAAATTAATAAAAATATTTCGATAATAATAATTTATTTATTTATTTTTAAATAATAAAAAAAATTAAAAAAATAAAAAACTCAAAAAAATAAAATAAAATTCACCATTGCCTATGCTGCCTCTGCACCACCACCTTCAGTCACCAGGGGAGAAAAATGCCAAGTTCATTATGAATGCCATATTTATGGCAGAATTCAATGAAAATGTTGACATTCTCAAAGAGAAATATGTCATGTTTTTAGCATTTTCAGAAAAAATGACAGTTTTTTGAAAAAAAATGACATATTTTTCACCGGCCGGAGATGGTAGTGCAGGGAGGTAGTACAGCCGTATAGGTGGTGGGAAAGGCATCCATATTTTTTTTTTAATTTTTTTATGCAGTTTTACTATTTTTTATCAATTTTTTTTGAAAAATATATTTTTTAATTTTTTATTTTATAAATATTTATAAATTTTTTATTATTTTTCTACGATTTTTTGAATTTTATTCGAATTTATTATGAATTAAACATTTAATTAACTCATATTTGGAGGAAGAGTAAGAATGAAATGAAAAAATAGGTATATTTCCAATAGGACTAATATGGTCCTATTTTGAAAAGAAAAACATAGTAAGTCCTATTTTAAGTTTTTGACATAGTTTTAGTTGTATTTGGAGTAATTTCTAATAAAGGAAAAGGATAGAAACAAACGGAGGAGAAAATGATAAAAAAACTACATAAACGAATATAATGATAAGAAAGAAGGGACGAACATATTGGTTTGCTTTAATCGAATTGTACCAAACCGAATTAAATTGAATCGAAACCGGACCATATGCAATTTGGTTTGAGTTTAATAGTATTTCTTCCAAACCGTATTAAACCGAACTGAACCGAAACTGATAAAAATCGAACAAAACCGAACTGAACTAAATAAATTCAATAAAACTTTCATATATATTTTAAAAATAACAATTCCAAATCATACCAAATCGAACTAAACCGTACCGATCCAAACCAAATAATAGTATGTATTTTGTTTGGTAATAATTCTTCCAACTCATTTCAAACTAAACCGAACTGAAACCGATAGAAATCAAAGCGAAAACTGATATTCCCACCCATATTAGAAATCTATGAAGAATTTGAAAATAATGCTGAAATAAATGGGATGAGGGAGACAACATGCTTAAAAGTTAAAATAGAGAGGGCACAAAAGGAAAAGAAGCCAATTAAACATTGTCCGTCTTATAGCCTATTGGGTAAAACCCAAATTGGTTGCATCGACTAATGATAGATTCTGCTAAAATTGATGAATTTCTGGTTGAAGTGCCCGGATTGACTGATTCTTTTGATTTATGAGACAAATATTTGAAATATATTTTAGTAATAAAACAAAGAAAAAAATAAGGAGTATATGAAAAAACAGCTAAATGATCCTCTACAGTAACTACAGTCAATATAGCTAGAAAAATAACTTTAACCTTACTTTTTCTTACTATTACAGAATTCAGCACGCGGAATCAAAAGATACGTACTTGATGAAAAACCATGGTCACGAGACGAGTTCTTAATTAACATTTCTATTTGTAGACTTTGGGGTTCAACATGTTGGTCTATCATTCATCTATCGAATATTCCCTCCGTGTTTAAAAAATTGCTGCAATAGTTATGTCACATTACTTAAGAAGAAAAGAAGATAAAATGTATACAAGGTAAAGTAATTAATAAAAAAAGGTAAAGTAATTAATCATTTTTAAACGAAAACTTACTAAAAAAAGAAAGTGTAATAAACTTTAAAATACATTTAAAAAAGAAAAGTGTAGAAAACTTTAAAATAGGGAGAGAGTAATAATTTTTATTCTTTGCATAATCAAAATTATTAATTATAGTTAAAAACCTCAAAATTGTTTTTCCAAATGAGGATTACCTCCTTGTCATTTTGGTTATTTTAATTGTTTTTATTGTTGAAGATGAATGTCATATTTACTTTTTTGGCAAGAAATATTTGATCAATATCATTTTATTTTATTCAAATCTCAATTATAATTTTTAGAGCTTGTTTGCTAGTTTACATGTTAAATCTTTGCACGTAAAATGATTGCATGCAAAGTTTAGGGAAACAATCACTTTACATGTAAAAATAGATTACATTATTTGACTAGATGTGCAATTCATTTTTAATATGCACGCAAAGACATTGCAATGCTTTATAAAAAAACATGCAAAACATTGCAGTGCTTTACATGATACAGTACAAAATGTTTTTTAAAAATGTCTTATAATTTACATTAAATAATCAAAGTACACAATATTAACATTTTTCGTTCCTTCACTTCACATGCAAAACAATTATTTTACATCCTACCAAACATGCACTTAGATTTTAATCAATTTAAATAATTTTGCTAAATTAAATACAGAGTAATAAAAAACTTTTCTTAAAAACAACTTTTATGGGAGGAGGTAAATTTTAATTGGGGAAAATAATTAAAATACCCCAAACTTTGAAGTGATGTGGGATAAACACCCTAAACTTGTATATGTAATTTAAATACCCCAAACTTTATATAAAAAATTATTTTAGCACCATGGTCATGCATTATTTCTTTAAAAAATATTACTACCTCCGTTCCTAAATTTACTTCTGTAGTACAAATGACACACGAATTATGAAAGTGAGTTTTGTGTGGTGGAGAATTGTGTAAAGGAGAGAGAAATATGTAAGAATTGGTGTAAACCACAATTTTCTTTGCCAAAAGGGGAAAGTGAAGTTCTTTTTGGGACGAACGAAAAAGAAAAGTTGGAAGTATTTTCAGGGATGGAGGGAGTAATTTTTTGTGTTTATTTCATAATTTGATAATTGTTAGCATTCATAAAAATATAATTAACATTTTAAGCTTCCATTGTAAAATAAATAGTATTACCCACCACTATATATAATTAATTCTAATGTTTTCAATTTGCTATTTTAAATTATGCATTTAACACTACAAATTTACATTTCTGAAAGAAATCATACATAACCATGGTGTTAAAATAATTTTTTTTATATTTGGGTTATTTAAATTACATATGAAAGTTTAGAGCTTTAATCTCACCTCTTTAAAATCTCTTTAAAATTTGGGGTATATTAATTATTTTTCCCTTTTTAATTTTGTTGAGTAAGCTAAGGCTGATCACTGGACTGGCACGAAATCTGGCGAGCTAAGGAGGAGGAATTATCGGGGCGAAGATCTCAGACGGCAGTCTTTCCCGCCATTCCACCCGTACCAGTATCAATCAATCTAAAGTGCTCTGAAATGGCGACATCCTTCGCGGCACGAGCGCATCCTTGCACTTCGTATTTTCTTCAGTCATCTTCACGACGGTTTACGGTAGTTCATTAGCTATCTATTCAGCTATTCTCTACTACCTACGTCGACTATTACCTGCGCTTTTCTCTCATATCTCCTTGCAGTGTTATTTGTGGAGTGGAGGTTTTAGGAGCGAGAAGTTCAATTCAAATACGTGTAGAAAATTGGGCAAATGGAATCAGAGGTAATATGATAAAAGCCAGTTCACGGAATTACCGTTATAGACACTAGTTGCCAGTAATATTGATTTTCAGATTTTTTTTACGAAATAAGCAGGAGACCTTTGATTTGTGCAGTCAAAGAAGATGATGAGGACTCATTCAAGCATGCAGTAGAAATGGATAGGCTAATAGATATGCTGAGGACTGCAAATGATAAAGAAGTAAGTGAAATGCGTTAACTTCTAATGATATGAGATCATCCTAGACTGCATACTGTAGCTACCCGCAAGTGCGAATAGGATGCCTAATTAAATTGGCTTCTAGATGTACTGACACTTGCAGATGATAAAAGAAGTGAAATGCAGTCACTTTTTATTTTAATGTGATGCGTTTTTTTTTGTAAGCCGTGCTTTTAATCAGACAGTGCAAGAGATGTCTTCGGACCATTTAATAATGCACACTCTAACTAGTGTGATTAAGATGCCATATAATTTATTGTTACTTTTTGAAGCTAAATTATTCTTTTATCCAACTGTGTGTCATATAGATGAGCTGGTTTTCCTGATTAAGCCTTCTAAGTGAGGCTTGTGTTAATGATCGATTGCTTCAATTCTTAACCATCCACCCTTTTGTCATATGGATGAGCCGGTAATCCAGAAGTCCACTACCCCAAAACTTTAAAAGCTAATGCATGAAAAGCGATGATATGAGAACTGAGAAGAAAACTTGTCTGCGGACTTTCTTTTGAGGGAGGGAGGAATTAGACCAGATTGCCAATTTATCATGGGAAGAGGCCTTGGCTATCTATACATAATTTGAATTTACGCAATATATCTGTATAGAACCATATTTTCTTGATGTGTTGATTGAAACTTTCACTCTCTTTGGAAGCAGATTCGGAAACTTGTTGCAGAGAATGTCTTTGTTTTCAATGAGAACTTTTGGATGAGAATAGCTGCTAGAGCAGATGCCTGCAAATCCGAAGATGACAAGGTATGGTTCAACGGTCCACACCCTACAATTTTCTGCTTGTTGAAAACCCTGTGATATGCCCTCACTTCTCAGCATTGTGAATGATCTATTTGTCTTTGCATTTGCAGAAAGACCTTGAAGAACTGGCATCAATCTTAATGGACACGGTTGATAGTCTTGTGCATAAGACCCATGTATGGTCTCCTTTCTCTTGCTTCAAAATACATGTCCAATAACATTCATAAAAAGAAGAAGAATGGTTACTTGTGATACAACATAAAAGTGATTTTTTTTGCATTTTCTTTCTTGATTATAAACTCTTCTGACCTACATAAAAAATAAAGTTCGGTTGGTGGTCTGGATTTTATTCCATATCGAGAGCCACTATAACGTTTCTCGTGTTTCTGTTTTTGGTTCTGTAGGAAAAGATAGAGTCAGATACAGATGTGCTTAAAGCCATTTTAAGGTCCGTAGTTCATGAAGAGGAGGATGTTTTTTGGCCTCCAAGGGATCCTGAAGCTCTCAGCCTTTTGGAAAAAGTATTCTTATAGCTTATATCTGTTATGCTTAAAGAACACATTTCTGCTGTATGTGCATAATATTAATATGTTTTTCAAGTCTTTCTCTTGGATGCGGGTGGGGGATGTTTTTTGTATACTGATCTAATGCTGTAATGCATAACAGTTAGCATCACAACTCTATCCTTCTTAATTAAATCCATCATCCTCCAATCCTTTTTTAATGAAATTCTCCATTACCAATTTTCATACTCCGTATTAGAGAACCAATCTCCAATTTTTCATTATAAACCATTTCTTTTTCTCATTGAAATGTCGTTGCATATGAAACCATCTCTTGACATCTTTGACTTGTTAGTGATTCTTGATGATGATGCCATTGGTTCATAATTGCTTTGAGTATAACAAAGATTTTTATGAATAGCTGGGTGAAGTCAAACACAGTATGTTTGACTATCAATGAATTTTAGTCCATTTACAATGAAGTTTTTCATCATCGAGCAAGATGATTGAGGTGTGAACATTTGGTGATTAGATTAACTCACTAGAATGAATATCTAAGTTCCTCTAAATAGATTCTAATAGACAAATGTTGCACTTTTTCACTTGTGGGGATTAAGGTGTGCACATTTGGTTATGGGATTTTCACAATATCATTGCACAGCTCGCAACCATTTATTTGTAAAACAAATGAACTTGAGTTTATAAGACAAGCATTTGGTGCTAGAAGAGTCGAGGACAAGCACACCAAATGATGAAGTGGAAATATTGGCTTTCATACTTGGAGTATAATCTGCCATTTTACTCCTAAATGATCTTTGTGATTTTAGTAGGTTAAATTTATTGCGCATTTTTCAGGAACTAAACCAAAGGGAGCAAGAAGGCCAACTAGATGAAGGATTTCTGTCAGAAGTTTATGCACAACTGCGGAAAGTAAGATTTTTGAATTAGAGCTTTGTTAATTACTCAAGTCCTCTCTTAGGCTGAAAAGATGTCATCATCATTTAGAACTGGACTTTTTATCATTTAAACCTTAGGTGACGGGTGACTGATTAACATATAATCTACTGCTGACTACAAATGAAGACTGTGGACTGACCAAACCATATATAGAATATGGAAGAAAGAAGTGAAAGGCCATTAGAATTCCACACCTCTAATACTAAAATACCACATATGCAGTGAACTCATGACTGATGACCACTGCACATTGAGTAAGGATGTTGTATTTATAGACAGTCAGCTATACTCCTTTGGTCCTTCCCTCCACCCCCAAAAAATGAAGTCATGTGTATTAATGACTTACATTCAGTAACGGTACAACTCTTGTACATCATCCATCCTATTTGTATTTTTAAATATATTTGTCTGCTTTACTTGTTCTGATAACTTTTTAGCTATACAAAAAAAATTAGATCCTTACAAAAACAACATTACCCCATTGCTACAGAGGCTCCCACCTACGGTGTGGTAAGGGGGGAGTTCGGATGTACGCAGCCTTACCTTTGTACTAAAGCACAAAGACAATGTTTCCGGATGACCCATGATGATAACCGCGTCAAAAATTGCATGGAGTGACTGCTGCTTCATAACAAAGAAGCGCGGATAGTTTAGTGAGTCATTTTGCTTTATTCCATCATATTCCCAAGCCAAAAAATAGTACTCCATCCGTTCTTTTTTAGTTGCAACGATCAACATTTCACATTTGCCAATGCACGTCTTTGACCGTAATTATATCTTAATTCTATTAGTAAAAAATATTAAAAATCAGATTTTGAATATTTGTAATGAGATGAATTGAACAATATTTTTTTTTTAAAAATAATTTTCATAAAATAATAGCGTAAAATGTAGTCAAAGTAGAACATGTGAATAGTGTAAAATTCAACATGTTGCGATTAAAACAGAACGAAGGATAGTAAGTCTTTGGCTCCATTGGAAATGATGGAGTAAAAAAAAGATCCTTGTTGCAAAAAAAATTGGATCCTTAACTTCATCTTGTAACTAGTGGCGGCCCCTTGAACAAAACTTTATTTTAACTCAAAAATTAGATTCATAACTAAATGCAGCATACTTGTCTTGAAACATTAGTGTTGACTTATTTTAACATATAGTAACTAGTAATGGCCCTTCAAACATTTTTTTTGGTCCCAGTTTAATCCACACCATACCTGGTAAGGGCCGGGGAACACCTTACCTGTTTATTAAAAAAGTAAGAAATACATGGTAGGGGACTGTACCAAAACCTACCAGATTTAAACGACATAAGGGTAGGCAATTGCATCAAATTTTACAATGCCTAGAAATTTGTTGAAAGTGACATGGTTGCCATCAAAAGAATTAAAGTTAAGAGCGACAAAGTGTGCTGCTTTATTACAAGCTCTTTTGGAGTAGCTAAAAACTAGATCGTCATCTTCAAAGATCTCTTTAAACTGGATATAGCTTTCCATCCCGGACGTTCCTCATTTTAAAGAATCTGAATAACCTGTAATTTGTCACATTCGATAATTGCCTTAGTGTAGTTTTTTTCCAAGAAAAAAGCTTTAAGATTTATCAAAAGATCACAAATATTCGAAGTGATATCCGAGTGGGAATGAGAGTTGGCTTGATACTTGACAATATCGCCTCGGTCGTTTCTGATGATGTACCCCGAGGTGCACATGCCATCTTTATCATTTCCAATGGAGATATTGATTTTAATAAAACCAGTGTGGGGCTTATTCCAACAAACAGTACAACTGTTCCGCTTATTCTTGTTCAAAACGGGATTAATACATGATATCTTTAATCAGGGGGTTATGGGCTTTAGTGACAATCGCTTGGGCCCTACTCCCATCTCTAATCTCCCTATTGACAACGTCAATGGCCTCAGAAACTAAAAGATTTTTATCACCAAAGAGGAACATATTTTTACGTTTCCAAATGATCCAACAAGTATAAACCGCCACCTGACAATTAAGGTTTTGAAAGTTATCATGGACATTAAACCATCTTTTTAACATAGAGTCAAAATTGTCTGATCTATGGGCTGCAATATTGAGCAGCATACCAAAATGAGACCACATGTTGAAACTAAACTCACAGGTGAAATAACAGTGATTCCAAGTGTCAGGGTTGGCCCTTCAAACATAACTTTAGTTTAACATATTGTAACTAGTAATGGCCCTTCAAATATAACTTAATTTAGCATGCGTATTTTGTTTGAAAAAACATTTAATTCAATTGGAAACTAGATTCTTCTGATGAAGTAGGACTCTATTCTTTTGGGAGGTAGTATTTAATCAAGCTCCATCGGTCTTTTTGTTTGGTGTTATGTGATCAAGATATAAGATTATTGGTTTCTGATCAGTGAAGCTGAATGCCAGAGCAAATGATGTTGAACAAGTTATCCTGGTTAATTATTATGTTCAAATATAATCTTAACTTGATGCTTTAACTATAGGTGAAAGATGGGGACAAGCCAGGGCTTCAAGCTATGCTGCAAAAAGTTCTGCAGTTCTACGCTTCCAGAGTTCTCTCTAAGCGTAGTTATGCAAGAAAAGGTGACTTTAGATCTATGATTGTAAAGGGCAGCCGGATGCACAATTGCACATTGGCTTCCCTGCAAGGCGAGAGTCTAGGGAAGGGTCTTATCACAAGGGTGTATAAGGAGCAAGCCTCCCCTTATCATTTTGATAAGAGGCCACTCCCAAGAGTTAGACGCGTGACCTCTAAGTCACACAACAACACTCTAGCCACTGCTCCAAGGCTCCCCTTCTTTAGATCTATGATTGTATTTTTTTCTATTTATAAATTTATAATTTTCAACTTTGTCATGAGATCATTTTTTGATATCATGCATGTCCCAAGTCATGATAATGGAGGAGGGTGCTATGGCAGGTGTGTGACGACCAATAATATGATTTAGTCACATCACATGACATGAGTATCGCTTAGAGAGCGAAATGGAGAGAGTATTCATGTGGAGATGATTTATCTCTTCCAATCCTTTTTAACTCCGATTTCAAATGTCTAGCAAACCCCAAAGTCTTTTGGGATTAAGGCTTGGATGTTGTTGTAGTTGTATAGATCTATAATATTTGTTATTGAATATCTGATTATCACAATCCCAAAATATTGCTACCTCCGTCCCAAAAAACTTTGTCATTTTTAAAACTTTGATCAACTATATCTTTTTATTGAAAATTATTTATAATTTAAAAATTATATGAAAATGTTTTTTGTTAAAAGTACTTTTATAAGTATTGGTATTGTGTTAGGTAACTCAACAAAGCAACAGAAATTTAGTGATCAAGTGATAAAATCTGAGGAACCGATCCTCCCATACAATGTCGCATAACAGTAAACCCACGTACAGTAGCGTAAAACAGAAAATAGAGGAGAAGAAAGGTTTGAGACAGTTCGAGTCATCTCACACTCCCGAGGCCTAATTCCAGATACAATTTCTGCCTAACTCCCATCTTCTCCCCTACCCATTCTTATAGTAATTATATATCCTAACGGCCCAGCCCATATTTTATGACATGGCCCGGGATCCTTACTTATACACTACCACACTTATTTAATATACTTCTATAATAGGAACCCATTAGTATAATAATACTAATAATAATAGAAGTTCTATTATTATTAGTATTATTATACTAATGGGTTCCTATCATATTGGCCAAGGAGCCAATACCAATTGCTTGGAATTGAGATTTACTCTTTTCTTTCTTGGGCAGGGAATGTGGTGCTAAAAGCTGAACAGCTTCTCGAGACCATAATTAAAGGTTCCTACCCTGCATTGTGCTCTATTTTGTACTACCTCCGTTCCCCTAACATTGACACAAAAGGGAGTGCTACGATTATTAAGAAATGTGAAATTGTGTGGTTGATATTAAATTGATAGTGTAAATAAAGTAAGAATAAAAAGTAATCACCAAATTTTACCAAATATGGTATGACAACCTAGTGGGATGGACGAAAAAGGTAATAGAACAAAGATAGACGGACGGAGAAAGTGATACATACTCCCTTTGTCCCCTTAACTTTGTCCCGGTTTACCTTTTTTGTCCGTCCCATTAAGTTAGTCCCATACCATATTTGGTAATATTTATGTGATTAGAATGTATTCTTACTTTATTCACACTTTATCAATTCAATATCAATCACACAATTCTACTTTTTCTTAAAAAGCACACCACACCCTTTTGTTCCAAACTTATGGGACAGGTAGTAGTATATTGTAATATGAAATATTTTAGGATATAAACTAACTCTCCGGATCCTTTCCATCGGAACAAATTTTAATCATCTTACCATTGTCAAAGTGACCAATATGGACTCCTATTCTGTTGATGCAGCTCGAGAAGAAGAATGGAACAGGTTGTTGGGGGATGGAATGACTGTGGACAAAGGTGATGTCTCACCTGAAGAGTTTTATGCTGTTGTTAAGAAGCGAATAGAGCGAACATTAATGCGGACGGTTAGTCTGTAGAAACCCTTGGTGTTTCTTTTTAGTGCTATATCCTTGAGATGTCAATTTTGGAGTTATCCATTCCCACCAATGATTTACACTCTATATCTCTCAGCAAGGTGGCTCTTATGAGCAGCGGGTTCTTGTGGAGTATTTGAAAGGCATTCGCACCAGAGCCGAGGAGGTTGTGCTGGTGTAAGAATTATGCAATACTCATCTCTCTATTTGCACTTGGGGATGCATGTCTAAAAGAAATTTCTCCAGAAAGTTTCTGCACGCCAACACCGGTTGGAGTTTGTATCCTTCACATCGGAAATTCTAAGTAAATTGTTCTCCACAGTCCAACAGAACAGAACAACCCTGAAATCACTTGTGCCAAAGGGGTTTTAGCTGGAAGGATCAACGTAACCCATATTTTTTGGTCGATATCATATTAACTTTCCTATTTTATTAGCCAACGGATTACTTTTATGGCTCGGGTATTGTGCTCCAATCTTTTGCGGGTTACGTTGCTTCTTTGACATGTACGTTTTGGTCATTGAAAGGGTGTTCCACCAAACTATATTGTGGATGTGCTCCGTGATGATAGCGTTTACGTTGTTTCTATGACAGGTAGTACGTTTTGGAAGGACACTCCCCTAGGGATGGACTCGGGCGGGCCAACCGGCCCGAAACCGGACTGGCCCGCTACTGTGCGGGCCCGGACCGGCCCGGTGAACCGGTTGGTGCCCGGTTCGAGCCACCCGGCCCGGTCTTCAAGCGGTTCGGTCCCGGGCCTACATTTCAGTGAACCGGCCCGGCCGGTCCGGGTCCGGTCCGGGCCGCAACGGTCAGATTTTTTTTTAAATACTAGAAGGCTCCATAGCCGCTGGGAGAGCTCCCAAACGGCTCTATAGCCGTCGGGAGCATAGGAGGGGGGGTTTGGGGGGTTAGGGGGGTGGGGTGGGGGTGGGGGTGGGGGTGGGGTATACAAAAAAAAACCTATTTATACTCCTATTTTCTATACATTTTTTACACCTCTTCTTCTACAACTCTTCCTACTCTCTAATATCTCTATTCTCTCAATCTCTCATATTCAATCATCTTCATTCTTCATCTTCTCCAAATTCTTTCTACATATATATAATTTATATAATTATTGTATCTACTTATATATTAATTATCTACTTATAAATATATACTTATACACATTCATATTATAATTTTTTACACATTATATTATATATACTATATATAGTTATACATTATATTATATATTACTTATAATATATTTACACATTATATATTTATATATACTATATATACTTATACTCATTGACTTCTCGTTTATATACTATATTCTTTACACATTATATTATATATACTATATATAGTTATACATACATTTTATAAAAGTAGTTAATTGTTAGACTTCTCGTTTATCTATTAAATTACTTAATTGTTTCATTTGTCATATTAATATTAGTTAAAGTAGTTAATTGTTTCATTTGTCATATTAATAGTAGTTAAAGTAGTTAATTGTTTCATTTGTCATATTAATATTAGTTAAAGTAGTTAAAGTTAATTGTTTCATTTGTCATATTAATATTAGTTAAACTACTTAATTGTTACATTTCTCATATTAATATTAGTTAATTGCTACATTGCTCATTAAAGTAGTTAATTTTTACATTTCTCATATTAGTTAATTGCTACATTGCTCATTAAAGTAAAAAAAAAGTAGTTAATTTTTACATTTCTCATATTAGTTAATTGCTACATTTTTACATTTCTCATATTAGTTAATTGCTACATTTCTCATTAAAGTAAAAAAAGTAGTTAATTTTTACATTTCTCATATTAGTTAATTGCTACATTTTTACATTTCTCATATTAGTTAATTGCTACATTTCTCATTAAAGTAAAAAAAAGTAGTTAATTTTTACATTTCTCATATTAGTTAATTGCTACATTTTTACATTTCTCATATTAGTTAATTGCTACATTTCTCATTAAAGTAAAAAAAAGTAGTTAATTTTTACATTTCTCATATTAGTTAATTGCTACATTTTTACATTTCTCATATTAGTTAATTGCTAATATTTGTTCAATTTTAAAGATGAAGCGTGGTAGACATTCTGTAGATGTGGGTAATCTCCAACGCAACCGCAAGAGGGAGATTGCATCGACTCGATCTACTTCACGCAAAGGCAAAGGTAAAGCGCGGGCAGAGTCTTCTTTTCAAAGCCCGGACCCGGACCGGACCCGGTGGCTACCCGGGCCGGTCCCGGGTCCACCATTCCTGAACTGCCGGCCCACCCGGGCCCGGCCCGGACCCGGCCCGGACCCGAGTCCACCCCTAGGCCCGACCCGGCTCGGACCTGAGTCCACCCCTAATCTAACGTGGGAATTAGATTCAATGAATTATGATAACTCTCTCTTCTCTTTAGAGAGAGGAACTCTAGCGGCCGTCTCCCTCTTTGTAGGAATTGTAGGGGGTAAGTTTTTGCGCTGCCCCTATCAATATGCGGTTGGAGCGTCATATTATAATGATTTTAAGTGTTTTAACGTTTGTGATTGCAATTACGTCGGAGGAGATAGCATTAATGGATTAATATGGTGCGGTTGAGAGGTTGTATCAAGGTTGGATCGTGAAGCCTTGGTCGGTCAGTCTGACGGTGGTGGAGTTGGTATTCACCCATATTGCAAGAGCTCGTCCTCCTCCGAAACCACCTCTATACTAGGAAGAGCTTTGTGGAATGATTTTGTTTCAATATTATTTTCTCTTTAGTAGAAATTGTTTCTATTTTAGTTCGAGTAAATTTGGTTTGAATATTTGGATTTCGGTCGTTTTAGGCCTAAATTTGTCCGTTTCAGATTTAGCAAATCATGTTGCTTTGTATGAGGTGGTTGACTCGAAATCTACTCCTAGGATTTACGATTGGATCATTAAATTTTGTTCGAAGGTTATCTTTTATATGTTCTCGATTTTAATATAATGATCGCTCTTTTATGATAAAAAACTACTACAAATTATATGGTAGCAAAAAGAATGGTGTCAAACAAGATTTGAAACTTGAAGTTTTGAGAATTATTCCAACCTTTTGGCAAATCCGATCGTTGTGGGTCTAATTTAAACCGATTAGAATAAAAAATAATAATTAATCAAACTCAGATAGTACTCCCTAATAAAATAAACCGGTGTTTGGTTAATGGCCTATCGGCCATTTTTTGATCGATTCGATCAATATTGGCCTTTTGACCGGTTCAATCGGTCAACAAATGTGTTTGGTAAAATAGCTATTTGATTTGGCTTTTGGTCTCAAACAACTAAAATGAAAAACGTCAATAAACTTAGCTTTTAGGATTTAGTTGTTCGGTTTCCGTTGTAACTAATAGTATAAAATTATTATTGTTTATGTTTGTAATTTTAACTAGTTTTATTTGTTGTTGTTTGGGAAATTACACACTTTTGGTGTAATAGTTTATTTTTCCTAGTTACTTGTAATTTGTATAGATTAGGGATTTTCTGAGCTTAAACTAGGTAAAGATCATCAAAAGGATCCTCGAAAGGTCAACGAAAGTGCAAGGGAACAAGAGAAAGTGAAAATTTTGGAAAATAGTCAAAAACCCGACCGGGTTTTCCAAAAACCCGACCGGGTTTTCCAAAAACCCGATCGGGTTTGACTTGACCCGAAGATAAAATCTGATTTGGAGGCAATTAAACTTGCAGGGCGAAGATTTGACAAGGATTTGTCTTTTACCCGATTGGGTAAATCAAAAACCCGATCAGGTAGATGTGACTAATGAAGATTCCGGGCACTTACTCAAAAAACCCGATCGGGTTTCTTAAAAACCCGGTCGCGTAAACGACCCTGCCACCTCCAAAACACCTATAAATACATTCCTTTTCCTTCCCATTTGATCACCGATTTACATATACTCTTAAGGTTAGTCTAGAATAGCATTTCTTTATATTTTTCTAGCATGTTTAGTCTTAAAATGAGGAGCTAAACTTCCATTTCTTGGTGTTGCTCTTGAAGCTTGTTGATTATTAAAGTTGTGAGTTATTTTCTTAACTTCTTCACTTGAATATTAATTATTAGTTCTTTCCTTAATACTATCTCTATATTAATGGTGGGGAGTGTTGCTAAGATGACAATTAGTTAACATCTTGACATTAGTTAGAGTAGTATTTTCTTCCTCTATATTAATATAGGGGAGTGTTGCTAAGATGACAATTAGTTAACATCTTGATATTAATTATAGTAGGATTCATCTCCTTTACTAATATTCTTCCTTGAATATTAATTAATTCCTATTCACATTTCATATTAATATTTTGAACATTACTTAAAAAATCAACTAGTTTTGTTTCATATATTAATTTTTAGTAGAAACGATCGACGAATCGATGGTTAATCGTTGATGGTTTTACAAGTAAGTAACTTCGGTTTATTAATGCACGGTCGTGGTTGATAAATTTAAGAGGGATTAATTTTGTTGGTTAAACCGAAACCGTTGTGTTGAAGTTATCAATCTCAATTGATTTCATCAAGGAGTTAAGAGATTAAATGCTACTATCAAGTCGGTATATGGCGGTGTTCTATACTTGACTAATAGTAAGAGTTATTAATGAACGGTCGTTGTTAATAACTACCCTCGATGAATTGGATATACTCCTCGATTGAGTATTTGAGAGAGAATAAGTTATAGATATAACAATGATCGACTAAAATATATCAACAAGTGGAAAGTAGCAATGTCAAGTCCTTTTTATCTTTGAATTAAATCTCATATAAGTCGTTCATCTTCGTATTTAATTAAATTAAATCACTTAATCCCAAAACCCCCCTTATTTACTAGTTTTACTAAAAAGAGAATTATTCCTTTCCCTGTGGATACGAACTCTACTTCACATATACTACGTATTAGTGCTAGTATTGAATTTATTTTGACGCACTGTGACAAAGTGCTCTTCAAATTTGGCGCCGTTGCCGGGGAAAGACAATTATTTTTCTTTATATTTTATCTCATAAAACTAAAAAACAATATATATATATATATATATATATATATATATATATATATATATATATATATAGAGAGAGAGAGAGAGAGAGAGAGAGAGAGAGAGAGAGAGAGAGAGAGAGAGAGAGAGAGAGAGAGAGAGAGAGAGAGAGAGAGAGAGAGAATGAGTCTAGTGAGAAGCCTTGTACGGCTGAAAAGTGAGAAGCTCTCCTGATCGTCTGGTTAAAAGTAATTATTTTGAAAGCAAACAAAAACAGAGCAGCAGCCAAGCAAGTCCTGGAAGCCGCCAATTTTGGTTCTGCAACTTCTGCATAACTGCGATAGAACAACTTCTCAAGTTTCATCCGTTCACAACCACTTTCAAGCTCTCTCGAAATCACTTCAACGACCTTGGATTGGACTTCGACGAACTTGAATCGGACTTCGGCGAACTTGAATCTGACTTCAATGAACTTGAATCGGACTTCAATGAACTTCGGCTTGCATCTTCAAGGTAACTTTACAAAATTCGAAAAACTTCCACTCGATTCTTATGCTTGTGTCATCCAACTATAAAATACATTTCAAGTTGCCGATCCGATCTTTTCACATTTGTAATCTGTTAACCATTTAAAAAAAAATCCTGAGCTAGTTTATTTCTAACAAAGCATAGTTGCTCCTACTCTCTATGACGTTTTTCTCGCTCAAAGAGTCTTATTATCCATTTCGGTTTCTGGAAATTCTCTTTCTCGCTACTCATATAATGCAATTCGGTAACAATATACTAAATCAGAATCAAGAGTAAGTCTCATACTCTCCTCATTAAGTCAGTTGATGATATAATTATGATTATTTTGGAATTATAACCCGAGAAGTTGAAAATT